CCGCGGGCCCGCGCGCGCCCTTCCTCCGCGGCGTGGAGGGATGGGGGCCCGGGCGGCTGCTTCCGAGGGCCCCCGCTGCCCGTGGACGCTGCTCCCGGGGTGATGCTGGCTTCTGCAGCGAGCAGTGTGGTGTGGGGGCCCAGGGCGATCCTGGAGGCTCCGCGGGGGACCCAGGACCGACCCCACTTCCGCTAGGAACATGCTGAACAACTTCTTGGGAGGATCTGGGTAGTCCTTCCTCCCGCTAGGCCGCTCCAGCTCCGCATCTGCGGGAATGCAAACGGCTCGGCTGCTGCCTGTGCTTCCGAGAGAGCGTTTAGTACCGCTGGTTGCTAGGGCAAAGGCCCCGTTTAAGAGTGCAGAAAAGAGCCTGGGAGTCAGTGAGGACTCCCGTTTGGTTTTACACATATGAAGCTCTCCAATCCCTTTAAAGATGTATATTTGCTTCTTTAAAGAGATGTATATTTGTTTAAAGTTCGTTCAAGATCTTTGGGGTGGGGGTGTCTAACTTGCCTGCTAATTCCTAGCTGTTAAAACTACCCGGATTTCCGCATTGACTGGTCTTGAGCCTGGGTTCATAAATTCATGCCCCGGTAAGATACTTGGAATTGTAGGCGACTCTGTTAGGATTTCTCGTTTGGAACGCACCAGAAGAACTGGAGGATGCTTGATTAAGTGCGTGGTAGTCAATTCCTGTAAATAGAAGTGATAGGTAGGGGAGTATTAGGCGACCACCATGTCAAACCCCCAGCATTTTTAAAAAGTAGATTTAAGCTTCTATGTTGGTCATTAAGATGCTGCCTTGGCTGGAGCCATTTTTAGGTGTGTGTCACAGATGCACTGCAGCATCTTTTCTGGCTTTCCCCAAATACATTGATTCTCCGGAAATTAGAAATGGATTGACTTTGTATATAGTAAAAATAGTTGTTATTTGCTTTTCTGGAATGGATTTTTCCAAATAAGTTGTTGGTGTGGTTTTTGTTTTTTTGGAGGAGAGGTTGGCGGGGTCTGTAGGTGTGTGATGAGCATAGAATGCCGACTCTTCTCCCTTCATGACTTAACTAACCTCTATGTACTAATCACAAAAACTTCATATACATTATCCTTTATTCCTTCCAATCTGTGAGGAAGGTGCTCTTTTACTTGTTTTACAGACAAGGACATGATCTTTGAGAGACTGAAGTAATAGATGAAGGTCACACAAATATTTAGTGGTACTGTAGTCAAAGCTGTATTTTCAAAACCCAAAGGGGATGCTGTGAACTGTCAGGGTGCCCATTAGTTCTTCTACTTTTATAATCCTTGCTGAAGTGAGGTACATTATTAACTGGTAGTTTTTCTTAAGCTTGCCTTCAGTGTTGAACATTGTTACATATGAAGGTTAAAGTGTTGCCAGGTGTTAACTGTGGGTTTTATCTGTTTGTGGATAGGAAGACAGTGATGGGCTTGAGGCCAGTCTAGGCTTTGTAGTAAGACCAGGTGAATGCTGAAAGGGACTGTTAGACCATTCCTTCATTTATAAACTAAAGATGATAATAGCAGCACCTCTCAGGCTTGCTGTAGAATTAAAGACTGCGTAAAGGATTTAATACTATGGTTACTGCATGGTTTTTAAAAAAAGGACAGCTAAAAATGGAGGGAGAACAGTGGAGTACTGGTAGAAAGATTTATAAATAAATAAATAGATAGATAGATAGATAGATAGATAGATAGATAGATAGATAGATAGATAGAACTTTTCCAAGCAGGATAATCTGTGTTCTCAGAATAACCCAAGTCTTTGGTTACTTAAGTAGTTTTCTTTTTCCAGTTCTACTTCTCTTTATATTTACATACCAGGCTTTAATTCATAAAGATTCCTCCTTTGTGCTCTATATAGTAAATAACCCTGGGATCAGTTCTAGCTCAGAACAAAGTGCAGAATTTCTTAAATGTTTTTGAAGATAATACCGTGCCCCTGAGTCTGTGTAGTGCCCTCTTCCCACACTTTAAGTTGTAGGTTAGCTGGGTGACATCTTTCTATGCAATTTATGACATACTGGTATCTATATAGTTCATCATTGGTAAAATTGCAAAATAAATAAATTGCATGTTTACAAAACTATATTCTCTCTCAATCCCCCCCCGCCCAGTCTCTCTCTGTCTCTTGCTCTCTCGATGGGCTCTTTATGTAGCTTTGGCTGTCCTGGAACTCACTGTGTAGACCAGGCTGGCCTCGAACTCATAGAACTCAGAGAGCCTCCCAAGTTCTAGGATCAAAGGCATGTGCTACCAGTGCTTAGCAGAGAACTGTATTCTTACAGTGAAAGCAGCCCTGAAGTTTATATCTAAGTTCTGACGGCCAGGAGGAGGTGGTGCACGCCTTTAATCCCAGCACTAGGGAGGCAGAGCCAGGCGGATCTCTGTGAGTTCCAGGACAGGCACCAAAACTACACAGAGAAACCCTGTCTCAAAAAAACAAAAAAAAACAAAAAAAAAAGAGGAAAGTTCTGACTAAGACGTTTTGACTTCAATAATAAAGCAACACTTGTCTATTGCCTTGTGAGTGGAGTTAACACAATGAATACTTATCTCAATCTCAGTCGGTGTTGCTAGGAAGTCTGAGTTAGTGTTATTTTCCTGAGTCATAGTCCTAGCATCTTTGTGGATCAAGTATTCTTTAGAGTCACTTTTGTGTTGTGTTTTCTGTCTAAAGCTAACTATAAATTTGTCTTTGTGCCACATATTTCTCATTTTGTTCTAGAGATTAACGGGAGGCCAGCCATGTTTAGGGGCCTATATCTGCACCTATGTGCTGGCAGAGTCAATCAGTTTGAGTGCTATTACTGAGGTTCAGCAGGCAACTTCTGTCTCATTGGCAGGCATATGTGGAGAAAGCTGTTACTGATAGTGTGTTGGATTCCCCTGTAGTAGCACTGCTGGATGCTGAATGTTAAAGGAAGGTACAGCCAGCATTTATAGAGAGCATCACTAGTATTCTTAAAAACTGCTTCCTATTTCCCTGATAGTCTGTTTTTCTCTACTAGGCTTTTTCCATGCTTCTATCATCTACCTTGTATGGTAGTTGGCATATATAGTTTATCATGCATTATTTTCCATTCTTATACACCTACCTCATATAGTGGTTGGCATAGTTTCTTTTTACATTATTGAGTAAGGGTTAGAAATACCAAATAATAGATCCATGCCAGAGTATACTTAATAATACTCATTGTGAGATTGATTTGCATCAAAATATTCTTGTTTTGTTTGTTTGAGACTAGCTCTAACTGGCCTAGAACTCACTGTAGACCAAGCAGGCCTTGAATTTACAGATTGGCCTACCTCTTCTTCCCCGGTACTGGGATTAAAAGGCTTATGGTCCCACAGCTTAATCTTCAGTTTTATTCAATTATTAAAGAACCTTTTCACTTTGGCAGATCTGCTGAATCAGGGGAATGTGGCTTTGTTTCTTACTACCAAGATACTTAGTCTTAAGATTAATACTAAAAGTTACCATGAGGTGTGGTGGTATATACAATTAATCCCAGCACTTGGGAGGTAGATGCTGTCTGAGTTCAAGGCCAGCTTGATTTATTTAGCAGTTCCAGGTTACCCAGGGCTACATAAATAAGGTGGGTGGAGGTTACCATAGAACTGGAGAGAGCTATTTGTATGGCATTAATGAAGGCCTAGGTTTAGTTCCCAGTACTGCCCTTCACACCACCAAAGTTCCCTTATAATCATTGGATTCATACCTGAAGATGAAAACAAAGGCATGTGAGAAGGTGCAGGAAATTAGGTGAAGAAAAGCTACTCACAGAAAAAGATAGCATGGATCAAGTGTCTGGTTGATTACGGTAAAGGAAGACATGATGGCTAGAAGATTAAAAAAAAATTGTGGGGTATGAGAGGTGACTCGTTGGGTCAGAGTGTTTGCTGTGAAAACAAGAGAATCTGGGTTCAGATCTCCAGCACTCATCCACACTAGGCATTACTTCACGCCTGTATCCCCAGCAGTTGGGTGTGGTGGTGGTAGTAAGCTTCAGGTTCAGTGAGAGACTGTAAATGGAGAGTCTTAGAAGACCGGCATGATCTAGCCTTCTAGACCATGCACATGCACACAAATACGAATAATTGTAATTTTTGTTTACTTTCTTTTTTTCTGAGTTTTGCTCCATAGCTCAGGGCATGGCCTCAAACTCCTACCTCAGCCCTCCCTGGTGCCAAAATTGCAGGCATTAGCTATCCAGCTTGGATGGGGTTTTGTGTGAGGCAGAGGCTTGTAATGTAGCTAAACTGGCCTTTAATTCATATCCTTCTGCCTCAGCTTTTCAAGTACTATGTATGGTTCAGGTGTGTTCCAGAGTTATGGTTAGTTAGTTAGTTGATTGTTCTCAGTGCTGGGAAAGAGTCTTGCACATGCTTAACTATTCTACCACTAAGCTATATCCTCATCCCTGTAACTTTTTAATATTTGTTAAGGACTTTGTACCCAGCTCTAGGCTAAAAATTTTGCACTCGCCCCTGGGGGTTGGGGGGGGGGCTTTAAATCTATACTACAGTAAACCTTAGAAGTGGATTCTTCTCTCTGCATTATAACTCTAGAAAACATTTTTTAAAGCTGATTGAGTATGGTTACCTAGCTAGTAAGTAGTAGTAAGGATTTTAATCATTGACCCAGAGGAGCCTGAGTGGTAACTCAGTCCCGGTGGCTGATATTTCCTGAACTGAAGTCATTCACCAGGTTTTGGCTTTGTCTTCAACCCATCTGTTGTTAATACGTAAGTT